GCCTAAAACTATCCACACACGACATGCGTGTGAGTTGGTGTGACACCCGGATAATTAACCTACAGTAACCCTTCGCTAATGATGCCATGTCACCTCGATTATTGTGACTAATCTTGCGTTAGTTCGAAACCTATTCGAATTCAAATTCAAAATCAAGCAAACAATAAAATATTTTCAAATATTAAAACTAAAATATTGGGGGGTTGCCAAATAATGCATAGGTAATTATTGTGGAGAAACCACTATTTTATAAAAGGTTTAAGTGCACTATAATATTTAAAACAGCAGCAAAACATTTAACTAACTACCCTTTTCAATTTGATAAAATATTAAACTATTTGTTTTATTGCCAAAAACTTATGGGGCAGTGGCATACTTATTAAAACTAAATTAGGAACCAGTGGTGTAGTTTATAAAACCAAATTCAAAAGGAAACTAAAATAAAAACAGTAAAACAGAAATATAAAATAAAACAAAAATAAATAAAAGAGAAAGCACTCACCCACCCGGGGCTCCGGCCCAGCAGGCCACCGGCCCAACTGGGCCACGACCCACCAGGCCGGCCCAACCGGCCACCCCTCACTCCCCATATCCCCCCACTCACGAAACCCTAGCCCCACCGACACCCATTCGCCCCCCCCCCCATTCTGGATCTGGATCGGGATCCCGATCCCCTCGTCCCCACCGCTCGTCGCCGCCGAACGCTGGCGCCCCCGCGCCACCACGCTACCCCGCCGGACTGCCTTCTCCACCTCAACGGCCTGCTTCTTCTCTGTCACGCCGTCTCCGACCTCCTCCTCGACACCCGCTGCCTTGGTCCCTACGCCCCGCGGTGAGGCCCCCGGCCTCTTCCCCTCTGCCCTCGCGCGCCGCACCCACGGTGGCGCCTTCGCGCACTTGCCCGCGTGCCGGAGCTCACGCTCTGGGCAGCACGCGCTCACCGCGGCCCCCGCACCGGCCCTCGCCTCTGTCGTCCCTGTGCGTCGCCCGCCGCCCGCGTCGACTGCGCGCGCGCGACGGCGCTCCCGCCTTTGCTCGCCCCTCATCGTGAATGCGCCCGACGCCCCGCTCCTGCACACCCTGCGCCGGCGACGCCGCCATGCCTGCGGCCAACTCCGGCGCTCTGACCCCGTCCTGCTCCCCTCGCCTTAGTCCCGCACCTCCGACGCCTTCCCTGGCCGGCGTCGTGGGCGCCGGTGACCGCGCTGTTGGTCTCACCAGAGGCCAGCGCCCGGGCTCCCTATCGGGCGCTCGTGGACGTGCCCCTGCGCCCACACCGCCCTGTGCCCGCTAAGGCCCCTAGGGCCATTGACATGTGGGGCCCGCCCCAGAACAGTTTTAGAAAAAAAGAGATTAAAATTAAGTAATAATAATAATAATATAACTTAATTGATTAACTAATTAATTAATTAATTAGTTAACTAAGTTAATTAACTTAATTAATTGCGATTTATTAACCTAATCGTCTAACTAATCTAGTTAATCCTGATTAGTTAGTCTCAATCAATGATAAGCGGGACCCACCCGTCAGCTTGACTGGTCAAAGGTCAAAGCTGACTGCTGATGTCATGCTGACATCATAAATGCAATTTCGAATTAAAATAATCTGTTAATTCTAGAAAATGATTTAAAACTTTAAAAATTAATAGAAAATAAACCGTAGCTCAGATGAAAATGTTTTCTACATGAAAGTTGCTTAGAACGACGAGACGAATCCGGATACGTAGCCCGTTTATCCGCCACACATCCCTAGCATAGCAAACACACAATTTTCCCCCTCTGGTTCATCTGTCCGAAAACGCGGAACACCGGGGATACTTTCTCGGATGTTTCCCCCTGGTCGGCGTTCGCGATTGCTTCATAATAACACGCTTAACGAGATCTTGGTATTTGATCTGAGTCTGGCCACTGGCCTATACGCACTAACCAACTACGCGGGAACAGTTATGGGCACTCGGCGTTGTGGTATCAGCCGAAGCCTTCTTGACGTCAGCGAAGGAGTGGCGCGCGCCGGATTGGACTGGAACGCCTACTCTTGTATAAGCGATGCTAGGTCTGCTTCCGGCCGCCCTCGCAACGTGCAGGTGTGCAATGGGCGATGGGCCCAGACCCCTGCGCGCATAGGATTTAGACCGGCGTGTTGACCTCTCTATTGTGCCTAGGTGGGGCTGCGACGTGTTGATCTTCCGAGGCCGGGCATGACCCAGGAAAGTGTGTCCGGCCAAATGGGATCGAGCGTGTTGGGTTATGTGGTGCACCCCTGCAGGGAAGTTTATCTATTCGAATAGCCGTGTCCCTCGGTAAAAGGACGACCCGAAGTTGTACCTTGACCTTATGACAACTAGAACCGGATACTTAATAAAACACATCCAGACAAGTTCCACAGACAACCCGGTGATCGCTTTTCCACAGGGTGACGAGGGGAGGATCACCGGGTAGGATTATGCTATGCGATGCTACTTGGAGGACTTCAATCTACTCTCTTCTACATGCTACAAGACGGAGGCTGCCAGAAGCGTAGTCTTCGACAGGACTAGCTATCCCCCTCTTATTCTGGCATTCTGCAGTTCAGTCCACCGATATTGCCTCTTTACACATATACCCATGCATATGTAGTGTAGATCCTTGCTTGCGAGTACTTTCGATGAGTACTCACGGTTGCTTTTCTCCCTCTTTTCTCTCTTTCCATTCTACCTGGTTGTCGCAACCAGATGTTGGAGCCCTGGAGCCAGACGCCACTGTCGACGACTACTACTACACTGGAGGTGCCTACTACTACGTGCAGCCCGCTGACGACGACCAGGAGTAGTTTAGGAGGATCCCAGGCAGGAGGCCTGCGCCTCTTTCGATCTGTATCCCAGTTTGTGCTAGCCTTCTTAAGGCAAGCTTGTTTGACTTATGTCTGTACTCAGATATTGTTGTTTCCGCTGACTTGTTTATGTCGATCACTTGTATTCGAGCCCTCGAGGCCCCTGACTTGTAATATGATGCTTATATGACTTATTTTATTTTTAGAGTTGTGTTGTGATATCTTTCCTGAGTCCCTGATCTTGATCGTACACATTTGCGTGCATGATTAGTGTACGACTGAATCGGGGGCGTCACAGTTGGGTAACAGCTTTGTGGCATGTCGGCCGAGGATCTTCCTGTGCTAGATCTCATCATCAACTTCCTTCAACATGGTCAAAGAAGAGAGAAGCTGCTGCCCGCCATGCGCTCCACCGCAAGGCACCAAAGTCTGACGTCAGTGCCACTTAGGCGAGTGTCAAGCATCGACCATCGGACACAAGAGTCAAGACTCACATGATACGGAGCTCTGGGAGACGATTAAGCCACCTGCTCATCGGCGCCGACCACGACACCGACACAGATAAGATAGGACGAGAGGAGAGGCATATTATTTTGACGCGATACCATCCCCACATCAAAAACGGTGTCCTTGCAACTGAGAAAAGTGTCCTTAAAACACCTATGACAGCCCACCAGAGAACTAGGGTCACCTGCCCCTCATTCCACCATAGTGGCAACACAGGGAGGGGAGGAGCAAACAATTGTTGCCATTATCGCCTATCAATGGGGGAGAGTGGATTAAATATTTGTAAAGTTAGAGACAAGGGAAGGTGTGGTTAGAGGTGTGGCGATCACTGGATTAGCACTATTGTAACAAATCAATATAAAAATCAAAACCAGTTGACGATTCGGTCACCTATGCTAACTCACAATGAATCATAACAAGATTATCTTCAACGTCACATACATGGCTTAAGAGTGACATATGTGGAGCCAGCAATTATTAACACTTAGTGTTAGAGACAATGGGCTAGGTCCACGTATAATTTTTGAAACCTCAAACAAGGCATATGAATAAATGGTAAGTGATGATTTAAAGTTTAGTCTTATCGTGAAAGTTGAGGACGTGTGAGACCTCTTTATACAGTGAGTTCTATCCACAACACTAAGCGACACACGTATCTTCCTTTTGTTGTTTTATTTTTTCATGTATAAGTAGACAAGTTAATTGTTTCTTGTCCGAAAAGTTTACAAACTGGAAACCAAGTCGGTTTGAGATCGTCATCGCAACGATGCCTTCTTTGGTGCTCCTATATATATTGCTTACTGGCGGCGGCCAAAAACACACGAAAAAAATCAAACTAGGGTTTTGCCTCCTCTCTCTACGCGTTGACGCTGTAGTCTACTCCACCCCAAACTTCATCTTGCACCGGCAAGCCAGATAGCAGGTCTCCAAAATCTCTCGCTCTTGTGATCCCGCGCTGTGAGAGGGTGAATTAGGTTTCTGAAGAGCGCTTTGCGCGACTGCTCGTCGTCCGTCACCACGTGTTGTCTTCCTTCCAAGTCAGGTGACGCTACTCATCGTCGTGTCCAGTGCCGTTTGCATCAAAGGTGACCAACATCATTAGCAACAACATCGTACCAACAGCAATGGAGGCACCTACAAATGATTAGTACGTGCGCCATAATCTGATCCAATCTTTTACTATGTGTTTTCTATTGCATGTTGGACGATGATGTTTATGTTGTTTCGTACTAGGTATAATATGTTTGGTACATGCATGCTAGTAGTTGTGTTTAGTCATGAATTATTTACTGAAATTACTCATTAACTTGCCTAATATTTCAACACTCATATTTTGGCATCACCTCTGCTGTGAAGATGAAGTGCAGGATATCATCATTAGACAATAAGCAGATGCTTGAAGATGGAATGGATTCATGGATCTTTGACATTCATCATTAGTGCCTAATCAACAGCTAGGAAAAGCTCAATCATTAGTGCCAAACCTACCCCACCTGTAAGCCACAGCCCAGCAAAGCAAGCAAGCAGCTGGAACAGAGCAAAGCAGAGCATTTCTTTTCTTTACGAGGGAAGAGAGCAAAGCAGAGCATAGTGACAGTGGTAGTGGTAGGTGGGCAGTGAGAGAGAGGAGCCATTGTAGAATGTAGATCAGATCGAGCAACCATCCAATCCAAAAAAGAGATCCATGGCGGAAGCGGCGGGAGTGCGCGTGCTGGACCGCCTCCGCGTGCCGCCGGCGCCGCCCTGCCCCTCCGCGGACCTCCCCATCACCTTCTTCGACGCCGCCTGGCTCTTCACCGGCCCCGTCCAGCGCCTCTTCTTCTACCGCCACGCGAACCCGTCCGCCGCGCTCCCGCTGCTCGCCGCCTCCCTGCCGCACGCGCTCGCCCGCTTCCCCCCGCTCGCCGGCACCATCAGCCCCGCCGCCCGCCGCCTCTCCTACTCCACCGCCCACGACGCGCTCCACCTCGTCCTCGCCGAGTCCACGGCCCCGGACGACTTCGACCGGTTCGTCGCCGCCGGGCCCCGGGACCTGAGCCTGTTGCGCCCGCTCGTGCCCGCGCTGCCCCCGCCCGGAAAGGACGGGGCTTTCGCGCTCGCCGCCCTGCAGGCCACCGTGTTCCCCGGCCGCGGGGTCTGCGTCGGCGTCTCCGTCCACCACGCCGCCTGCGACGACGCCTCCGCCACGCTCTTCGTCCGGACCTGGGCCGCCGCGTGCCGCCTCGGGGCGCCCCTCGACGGTGCCGATCATTCCGAAGCCGTGCCGCCGCCGCCCGTGCTCGACCGCTCCCTCGTCGCCGACCCCGACGACCTGCTCGGCAAGACGCTCGCCGGGATGAGCCGCCTCGCGTCCGGACCTCCGCCTCCGCCCCCGCAAGCGCAGGGGCCTCCGCCTCCGTCTCCGGTGATCGCGTCCTTCGCGCTGACGCGCGACCAGATCGACGGGATCAAGGACGCGGCCGCGGCGCAGGGCGCACCGCACATGTCGTCGTTCGTGGCGGCGTCGGCGCTGGCGTGGGTGTGCCTGCTGCGGAGCCGGTCCGCGGGCGTCGAAGGCGCGGCGCGCAGCCACATGCTATTCTCGGCGGAGTGCCGGTCGAGGCTGTCGCCGCCGCTCCCGGCCGAGTACTTCGGCAACTGCCTGCGGCCGTGCTTCGTGGAGGCCGCGACGTCGGACCTGATGACGACCGACGACGCGGGCGGCGTGGCGGTGGCTGCTGCGGCCATCGGGGCGGCGATCAGGGAGATGGAGCGGGGCGTGCTGGAGGGCGCGGAGGGTTGGCTGGGACAGGTGATGTCGGTGCTGCCGCAGCGGCCCATGTCGGTGGGCGGGTCGCCGCGGCACGGCGTGTACGAGGGCACGGACTTCGGGTGGGGGAAGCCGTGCAGGGTGGACATGGTGTCCATCGAGATGACCCCCGGCACGGTGTCCCTGGCCGAGAGCCCCGACGGCCTGGGCGGCGTCGAGGTCGGCGTGGTGCTGCCGCCGGACGCCATGGAAGCTTTCGCCTCCTGCTTCGCCGAGCTCCTCAACAACAAGAAGAGCGTGTGACTGACATCGCCCGTGTGTCCGTGTGTGTGTGGTGACCACGAGCTGGCTTTTGCTCTTGTGAAGTTGTGATGATATGTCAAATTTGAAATGGGATTATATGTATGGAAGTATGTTATTTTCATCTTCACTGAATTTTCATTGAATTTCAACCAAGTAATAAGTTGGTGTGTGATGTGTGCAAACGTAGAGGTTCATTCAGAGCATCTCCATCAGGCGCTCAAAAAAAGCTCCGCGCACTAAAAAGTTTTTTTTTGCGCCGAACAGCTCCAGCAGAAGCTGTAGTGCTAAAAGTTTTTTAAAAGTTTTTGGACGCGCGCTGAAAAACGCTATCGCGTGCAGCATATTTTGAGCTTCGGATTGGGCGCGCTTCATAATTTACACTGTGTTTTATGCACGCTTTTGGACTTCTGCTAAAGCAATGTTGGGTCCGGCGCACTAAAAGTGCTACAATGATGGGCTGGAACTATTTTAGGACGCAAAATTTTTATGCATCTGTTGGAGAACACCGGTGTAGTACCAGTTCATTCATCACCGGTGAAGTCAGCAAGCAAGGTTCTGAAAATGACAGTCAATTCACTCATTAAACCCATTAAGCGAGAAACAAAGGGAAATCAAAATCAGTTGCACTATTCCGTCACCTCTACTCTGTGATGCGTTTCTATCCTCAAGATGCGTCAATGGGTGCTTTGATTTATTGATGAGTGTTGCTAAGGGGCTTAACGAAAGATGGGAATCCTCAAGATGATCGTATTTCTTCGGTTTAGCTATAAAATGCTATTAATTGCCTTCGGCTCCTAGGTGCATATGCACCCAATGTCGAAATACACATTTCGAGATGTTGAAAAATTCGGAACAAAAACCCCGCGTGTATATCCGGACATTTTATGTGCGTGCACAAGGTTTCAGTGAAAAACGGCGTTTTTTGTGGCTTGTGTAAAAAAGACATTTTCTGATGCTTCATTCTAACTATTCACGAGGCATTTCTTTATCTTTTTTACACAAGCCATAAAAAACGTCATTTTCCACCGAAACCTTGTGAACGCACATAAAATGTCCGGATATACACGTAAGATTTTTCTTCCGAATTTGTTAACTTTTTGAAATGTGTATTTTGACAATGGGTGCATATGCACCTAGGTGCCAAAACGCTGCTCTCGCTCGCTTCCTACTTCCGCGACCTAAAAAACAAGAAGAGCATCTGAGTGGCATCACATTTACCATGGAAGTAGGCTTGCTCTCCTGATGCTTGTATTGTGCTGTCACTGTGTCAAATTTGAAATGGGATCATCTGTAGTATGTTGTTTTCAAATTCAGTGGATTTTCGTCGAACTGCAACTAATCGCAATTCACTTGACTGATTGCGTTTCAAACATTTGGGGTGATATGTGCAAACGTAAGGGAGAGGTGTACAACATGCGGGCAATGCATCGCCAGTGAAGCAAGGTTGAAAGTGTGAGTGAGTCAACTCACTAATTGCGTTCCAAAAGCAAGCAGACCTCAAATGTTTGTCTGCTAGTTAAGACAAGTCTTTTAAGGCTGGTCATAGTGCGGAGTATCATACACAAGCATATGATACTACTGTTTGATACTATATCTATAGTGCATAGTATTATAGGTTAGTAGTATCATATGTGGTCTTATTTATTGCCATGCATGACACATATAGCATAACATTAATTATGATATGATATCTACCTATGTTATTATAACTCTCTCTCTTCCTCTCTTCTTTAATTCTTTGCCAGATAAGCATGTTTGTGAGTCACAAGTGCATGATAGCACTTATGTTACCCCCACTATGGCCAACCTAACACACAATTACTCTACTCGAAAGTGATGTCACTGCTTTCATAACTGAAAAAAACACCCCCTCCTTGTTAATCGTTCATGGCAATCAAAGAGGCTTCATAAAGGGAAGAAATATTGCGGAAAACTTTATTTATAGAGCAGACCTTCACAGTTGTTGCGATGCGCGTAAACTATTACTATGCTCCTAAAGCTTGATTTCAAAAAAGCCTTTGGTTCCATTCTGGGAATCCCTTCTTAACATCCCTATTGCGCTCTTGGATTTAAACCCTCCTCTCCTCTACCAAAACAGTGGTATTACTTAAGGCAATCCCAATACTATTATAGCGTCAACGAACTTTAAGCGTGTGGATCCTAAGGGTTCGAGAACTATGTAGACATGACCAAGACACCTCTCCGGTCAATAACTCCTTAGTCATTTGCTTGCAAGCTTATGAGTGGATTACCGAGAGGGCCCAGAGATACCTCTCCGATACTCGGAGTGACAAATCGTAATCTCAATCTATGCCAACTCAACAAACGTCTTCGAAGATACCTGTAGAGCATCTTTATGATCTCCCAGCTACGTTGTGACGTTTGATAGCACACAAGGTATTCCTCCGGTATCCGGGAGTTGCATAATCTCATAATCAAAGAAATATGTATTTGACATGAAGAAAGCAATAACAATAAAATTGAACGATCATAATACTAAGCTAACGGATGGGTCTTGTCCATCACATCATTCTCCTAATGATGTGATCCCATTATTAAATGAAAACACATGTCCATGGTTAGGAAACATTAACCATCTTTGATCAACGAGCTTGTCTAGTAGAGGCTTACTAGGGACACGGTGTTTGTTTATGTATTCACACATGTATTTAAGTTTCCGATCAATACAATTGTAGCATGAATAATAAACTTTTATCATGAATAAGGAAATATAAAGTAACAACTTTATTATTGCTCTACTACATATTTCCATCATGTACAGACATCGTCTCGGAACACTGGAGACCAAAAGGTCGAACGTGAGTCATATAGTAGATATGATCAACATAGAGATGTTCACCATTGAAGACTATCCCATTTCACGTGATGATCAGACATGAGTTAGTTGATTTGGACCACATATCACATATACAATTTGAGGGATGTTGATTTAAGTGGGAGTTCGTTAGTATAGATGAGCTTGCGAATTTATTCAAGGGAGCTCGTCGCCGCTTCGAGCTATGAAAGATATCCGCATGTCGGGAAGGCGCTCGAGAAGCCTAGGCCATGGTGAAAACGCAGTATACCAAGCTTGATCCGAATCATATGCCCCGGGTCGGACCTCGGGGACCAGATGGACAAGAAATTCTTGTTAGCTTAGTGTACGACCAAGTGAAAACATCAGCTAGGTTTTCTCAACAGGATTGTAAACTAGACAACCTACTAGAGGATCTAGAGGAAGAAGAAGTTTTTGAGTCTAAGTAATAATGTACTTTATCAACAAACTTTTCTCCAGCCAAATTATAAAACGATTGTCATGGCAGACTTCATGCTTCGACCTCCATAACCTGAGGTTTGGAGTGTTTCCGGATATTTTAAACCATTGGTAAACACCAAGGTATGTTCGGAAACTAGGCAATCCGGTCATAGTTTCTTGAACAGACAAGTTGTATTCGGGGAGTTATGTTATATTACATTTGATCGTAAGAAACATCTTCCAGAGCGAATAGTTCCGTTAAGGGTTCCTTTCCCTGGGCCAACATGCGTTTTTGCGCATACATAAACCGTGGTGGAGAGATCACAGTACACTTTATAATTTGGGGGCGTGTATTGCAACGTGGGTAGTTCATCTCTTGTCCGCTGACCAATCTTTCCCTTAAGAACGCTAGCTTTCGGCTTCACCCGTCGGAGGTACACGTCCCGATAACCCGGCTGTAACAATCGCAGAGGAACTCCCTTTATGCCCTAGCCGAACAAGCGGGAACGTAGGGCATAAGCACAGGAGCCAGGCAACCCAGCTTGGCAAAAACTTAAGTCATAAAGGTGCATATAATGGCGAAGACAGGACACATATGAGTAGACAACACATATATACGATGAGCTTAACGCTTCGAAAAATAATAATCATAATAAGCTTCTGTAAAAAGAAGCCCCCAGGTGATGATGGGTATGTACATTTGATGATGTATATCCCCTGAGTGTGCGGTTGATCCGAACACTAGTAAAAAAACAAAAGAGAAAAGAGGGGTGAGAGGGAGAAAAAATGAAAAAGGTTACAAGTGTGGATTTAGGCGTAGAATCTGCGGAGCCGAGCCGCGTTCCATGGGTTTGGCTCTAAACGATTATCCGAAGCGTTGAGCGAGCGATAGGCTCCTCCAGTGAGAACTTCATCTATGATGAAGGGACCCTCCCATTTGGGCTTGTGCTTGTCCTTTTTCTTCTCTAGTAGGCATTCAGTATCCCTTCATCTATGCAATTGTTGCAAAATACTGAGATTGTGTCGTCGTCGCTACAGTCCTTGATCTTATTTTTAACAAGCAGGAATCTAGCCCAAAAGTGGTGGACTGTTTCCTGGGGCTGCTGCCGCACATGCATTAAGTCGCATATGTCGACCGGAGTTGCTTGGGGAATATTGTTTGTGGTGGGTGGGTGGGATCGAATCTGAACCCCGTCCCGCTGAGGAGTCCGGATTCCGAAGAATTTTTGAGGTTAAAGGTCTGGGCTCCAGATCATCCGGTGTGTTTTTAGGCTCGGCGCCTGATTCCAAGTTCGGAGGACAAGAAGTGTCTTTCAGAAGACGAGGCTCCGGCTCTTCGGGTTCGGAAACCCGAACATACTTTGTCCTCAACATGGGAGAAGAATCATCGTCGGCTTGTTCCTCCACGATTGCCACGTGATGGGTGATCGGCGGAGATCTGATTTCTCTTGGATCAGGTTGAAGCCCAATCCGATCGTAGTCGGTTGCGACCCCCAGGGGGGGATGCGATCTAGCAGTTCGTTTAAGGCTGAAACATTTGCCAGATCCAACGCGTCGGAGTATTCAGGGCCGATGCGGAGGCAATTTTTGACGATGAGTTGGGCTGCTTTTGGCTCAATGGCCGGGCGAGCGCCCATAACGAAGCTGCCGAGTTGGAGAGTTTCCCCTGAAACCAGGGCCTCTCCAGAAGTGATGTTGTCTTTAATGACAAGGCGGGCCATCAATCCTTCTGTCGACGGCATAG